CTCTCTCTCTCTCTCTCTCTCTCTCTCTCTCTCTCTCTCTCACACACACACACACACACACACACACACACACAGACTTACTACCGTTCTTGTCAGGGGTTTGGACCGGCAGTCTGCTAGGATTGCAAGGTTGGTGTGAGTAAAGTCGACCACTTTTCTCAGGGGTATTACTAACTCGGGGCGATGTGGTGAGTCCTTGTCCATCAGTCAAATGCATCCTGGGCAGGCTGTCGGGGTTCAACCTCCTGGTGAAAGTCCGACGAAACAGTCTGGTACAGCCATGCTTTTTTTTAGTGTATAGCGAATATGACAACGCACACACACACACACACACACACACACACACACACACACACACACACGCGCGCGCGCGCGCGCACCTGCCGTGCCATTTGATGCAGCAACTGTGCTGCAAAAATTGGATGCGGTGCTTCCATAGTCCACACCCAAACCGGTCCTGTCCGGTTTGTAGGGGTGGGCACTTACCATAGGCATTAACAGCTCCTCAACCCAACAAAAAAAGTAATTGCAACCCTGTGCCATCCTAGAGTAGTCTGTTCCAGCGGTGAATGTTTAGAATTCTGCAAAGCTTGTCATACACCTCTCCCCTGCCCTTTGCATGTCATACTCTATCCTGCCCTTTGCCCCCACCTCCCCTCTGTCCTTTCATCTTCTTACTTCGCCTTTATCGCTTTCCCTCCACCCTCCACCCTCCTCTCCACTCCCTTCGTGCTACTAACAAATACATACGAATGAGCATCGTTAAGAGAACAGACGATATGGAGATCAGAAATGAAATGAACGGAAGTAAGAAGATGAAGGACGGACACAAGGACTAAGTATAAGCTGAAGATCTGAAGTGAATTGAACAGGAGTATGAAGGTCTGAAGAGAAATGCACAGGAGCATACCTTCCCTTTTACTCTGCCTCCTGAAATAACGTGCAAGTGGGCTGTGAAGGCACACGGGGATGTGGGCAGCTGCCGCTCAACCACAATCAACGTTGGCAGTCTTGTATGTAAGAGACACAGTAAAAGGGGAGCTGCAAGAACAAAGTACTGTCTAAGTATAAAATTGCTTTACTGTGTTGGACTGTCTCATCTCAAATGCGTTCGTTGTCTGCAATAGGACAAAGACTGCTTTGATTCTGAATCTATTCATCTGGGAGGAATTGGGGCTGTTGTGGGTAAAATCTATAACACTAACACACACACACACACACACACACACACACACACACACACATATGCACACGCACACGCACACACGCACACACACATACTCAC